TTTATGCAACATGGTGGCAGGCACTTTCGGAGGACAAAAGTGTCAGATCCCTTGGAGGTGGAATTCCAGGTGGTTCTGAGACTCCTAACATGGGTGCTAAGAATCACAGTCAGATTTTCTGGAAGTGTATGATGCACTCCTAACCTCTGAGCTACCTCTCTAACCCCAGGTTTTTAATCCATTCTGCCAATATCCGTATTTTAACTGGTGAATTTAATGCACATATATTTAAAGTGAGTATTGATAATTAAATCGTTCTGCCATTGTGCAACTGATTTCTATATATCTTTTCTTTTTATGTTTCTCAGTTCTTTTCATTACTACCTTACTTTTTGTTTGATGGGTTTTTTTGCAGTATATTCCTTTGATTCATTCCTCATTTCCTTTTTTTCTATATTTTTAGTTATTTTCTTAGTGATTATATATATATAATATATATAACATCTAGCTAATCATTTCTTTCTGAATATTCCTTTATAACCGATTTTATTGTTTAGAACAGTTTTGATTTTACAGCAAAATTGAACAGAAAGTTCCCCCATCCCTGCAGTCTCCCCTATTATCAGAATCCCATGCCACAATGATACATTTGCAAAAACTGATGTATGTACATTGTCATACAGTTATTACCCAAAGTTTACAGTTTACATTAGGGTAAACTGTTGGTGCTGTATATCCTTTAGGTTTGACAAGTGTATTGAGAAGTGTATTCACCATTAAACCATCATATGGAATGATTTCACTACACTAAGTATCCCTTGCTTGGCATATTCATACCCACAACCATAAAACTTAGGCACAACTCTTCATGATCATTCTTTTTTAACATTTATAATAAGACAATTTGGATCAAATGGTTCCTGTGAACTAAGAGTCATATTATACATTTTCCAATAGCCTAATGAATTTTCCATTTTATAAAGTAAGAATGAAATCTACACAAGCTGTCCCTTATACATGGCTACCGAAAGTGACAAATCCAGGATTCAAATCAAGCTGATTGGGCTCCAAAGACTGAGATTCTTTTGTCATTCATTCTTGGTCTTGATGAAGATGATGGTGATGACGATGATGGTTATGGTGGTGGCAGTGGAAGTGGTGACACTGAACACTGATGGAAGCAGCTCTCAAAATGAGGTGAGACACTGTACCAGTTGTTTTATGTACTACATAGTACTCTGATGTGGGTACTGATATTGTTTTCTTGTAGGTCATCAAACTGAGGCTCAGATGGGTTAAGACAATAATCTTTCAAATGCAGAGTCTCTACTGATCAGAGACTAGTGACTGTCATTGGAACCTCCCGTTGATGACCCACCATCTCTCGACAAATGGAGATGGTAAAAAGTGTAGGACTAAGTACATTCCTGAAAATGAATTGATGGTCTGGTTTTGTAGGTCTATATCTGAAAACTGATAGGTTGGTCAGGTTTAGTAAGATTACAATCCACAGCCCTGACATATAGCTACTCCTTTATTTTTTCTAAGGACTCACTGGTTTATCTGACAGCAGTGCTTTCCTACAGACAAGGCTGCCTCTTCCTCAGCCACGGTTATTATCTTTCTAGTCAGGGGAGCACTGCTCCTGGGCTTGTAGGTACATGACTGTGCTCAGAAATAGCCCCCTAATCGGCCTCATCAGCTTTGAAGGAGGCCATAGCAGGAGGGGCCTAAGTAGGCCAACACTTTAACCCAGTTACATGAGGACAGCCCTAATCCAGGATGATCAGATCTTGCTAAACCATCCAGAGGGAAAATGTCCAAAAGCTGTTTCTTGACTCCAAGTATCCCAGGTTGGCTGCAGTCATCCTTTTCTCCTTCTGAAAGAGCATAAACCTGAACGTTATAATGGGCCAGGTTTAACTTGTGAGGCAGCCAAGACTGAGTGAAAGCTGGTAACAATTGCCAGCAGCTCCAACTATTGGAAATACCCAGGGTTCAGGCTGCCTCAGGTCAAAACATTGCTTTTCCTTGAAGGACCCGCTGACTCCCCTGCCTCCACCTTAAGAAAGCCAGGAAGTCACTCTCTTCCTCTGTGTAGCCAACTACTTCAGTCCACCTAGCAGGTTCTGAACAGCCTAGGCTCTCTCTCCCATCTTTCCACTGCTGTCAGCTCACCTCATGTCTGGCATTGGCTAACTTTAAAATTCCCAAAAACCAGACTGAGCTGTCTTTCTAGGCTGTTTTTGGGAAACAAACAAACAAACAAACAAACAAACAAAAACAAAGCTGTTGGCGCTGGCCTGGTCTGGTTTTGTTTGTATGGCTCCCTTCCCATCATTTGGCAGAGGTCTTTCTGATGCAGGTGCGCTTGCCCTCCTCACGATCTGTCCCACAAACCGCCTGTCTTGGTAGGCAGTTCAACAGAATGAACCTCTCAGGTAGGAAGCAGAAAGCTGGTCTGACCTCATGAATGCTGGTAAAGAAGGGAAAACAGTCTTGGGTTTATGTGTTCTTTGATTGAAATGGGGTCTTGCTATATAGCCTTGGCTGTCCTCCCAATTTACAATCCTCCTGCTTCAGCATCTCAAGTGTGAGGATCCCACATACTGGGATTTCAGACCTGTGTTATAACATCCAGCTAGGACAAAGTGTTATAATGATTTTACATGCTAAAAGTTTGTTTACAGTTTTTCACAATGTGGTTTTCTGTAGCAGGAAGGTGACTTCCTTGAAGGAGGAGGGAAGAGGAAAAAAAAAACCCACAGTATTTAAAATTACTCTAAAGAGCTTTAGGTTATGTCTCTTATACCACTGGAAGAGAATGAAGTTGCATGTCATTGATCACAAGGTACATTCAGCTTTATAGAGCCATTAAAACATGACTAAAAATGTCTTAGAGCCAACAAAATAGAGAAAATCCATTAAAAATGAAAATATCACCTCTTCTACACACCATACCTCCACAGACTTCCACAACAAAGGGCACATAAAGGCACAGCGGGTGAGCAAAGTCAAAACCCCCAGTAGCTGCTAATGGCTACTCTGAGGACAAGCTATGTGATGAAATGCAGAGACCAACTGCTCTGTTCCCTCTCCCTCATCCCCAGAAGGAGCCCTCTAAGGTACCTCCTCAGAATCTATCAAGTGTGGAGGAATGGTTTCTAACTGTCTGGAGGAAGGGAGAGCTTCAATTGCACTGGTAACATTCATTCCCAGAAGTTGGATTTAGCTATGTTTTTTAGATGTCTTAAAAGGTTTCATAAAAGCATTTGTATAGACTGTCAGGTCAAAGAGATTACTCAGAACCTGGAAGCTTAAAGTAAGAACAACAGAAAGGTTTGCTTGGAATTATGAGCTTGAGTCAGGCCTCAGCAATGACATGCTCAACCCCCTACTCTCCACCCTCGCCGCTGCCACTCAGGCCATAAATGCACAGCATTTATGAGCCTGTCCACCCTAGAACACTCTGAACAGAAAGTATGTCCAACAATGCATAGGAAGGCCCGAGTTCCCATGAGACATAAAGCTGGAAGGCCCTCGATCTTCGTGAAAAATGAAACAGGAAAGGGAATGTTGTACTCTTGGCTGCTAGGATAGAAGAAACTGGAGACAAAATGGAGACAGGTTAGTACCACCTCTGAAAAAGACCCTGGGAAAATTAGGTGAAGGAGCAGAGTTGGCAGGGAAAGCTAGTGTCTGGTACCAAGGTGGGGCTGGGATTGAGCTGAACAGTAGGCTAGACCAATGGTTCATGCTATTCCCCTTAGACCCTGGCAGGGACAGGCAGAGACAATGTCCACTTTTGTTACTGAGATGTGCCTTGTGAGATGCTGCGAATCCCAGCCAGCTGACACAAGAGTTGCAGAATCAAGATCAGGGAGCCAGCTATGGCAAGTGTCTACTGTCCACTGGAACAACCTCTTCTACTCTCTTTCTGGAAGGCTTAGAAGCCTCTCGGCCCAGCAACTTAACTACCTCAGCTATACCATCTCAATGCTGTGCAGAACACTGACTAGGAGGGAGCAGTCAGATTGACTTTGAATATGTCTGCTGGACCTGGAGCTCACCATTTTCTCAGTTAGACTAACAAGGCAGCAAGCCCCAAGAGTCTCCTTGTCACCTTCCCACCAATGCTGGGGTTACCAAGCTGGTTATTTCTAGTCTAGGACTGTAAGGCCCTGCATGCTTCAAAGCCAACACTTGGAATGGGGGTGGAGGGTGGAAGGGGATCTACCTGCACTGACTGTCACTGTGCATCCCTTCTAGAAGTGGCAGCATCAGCTGGCTGTTCCCAAAGCTCACTGTTATCTTGCTCACTCTTCTTCAAGGGACCACCTGACACAGCATGGACACTGCTGTGTCATTAAAGGACATTTGAAGGCTGTGGGCCAGATGTCAACATGTTTCAAAGTTGCATTTTTTCCTTGTGTGTATATGTGCTCACCCACATTTGTGTCTGCAAACGTCAAAAATGAATGACCAGTATCTTTATTTATCTTCTCTTGTCACTGTATTTTTTTTAAACAGTGTCTCTCACTAAACACAGAGGTTACACTGATTAGATAGAGATTCTAGCAAGGCCCTAGAATCTATCTCCAACAGTAAGAGCTGAGGTTAAAAGTTCATGCTGCTGTTACTTGACTTTTACATATGTACTGGTGATTCAAACTCAGGTGCTTTTGCCTGTCCAACAAACAATTTGCTCATCTCCAAAGCCCCAACGTTGTATTATTGACCTCAGCCATCTAGCCTAGCCATGTCCTGTATACCATAGCACAAAGAGAGCCTATGTCTCTAACTGATGAGTTTCCCTTAGAGTAAATGGCCTGGTAGGCCCCAGGAACCTTGGTGGAAGTACACAATGTGTGGGAAATCAAGACCAATTCACTGTTCTGTCCATGGGGTCAAGCTGTGCTGAGAGCCCAGCTGCCCTGGCTTTGGGGTGGGGGTGGGGGGTAGGGTGGCTACTTCATGACACACAAGGCCAACAAATGATCACTTTTGTCTATTCTGCAAAGCCTTCTTGAGAGGGTTCTGAGAAGCAAGGCCAGGGCACCTGAGTTCTCATAAATCTTTTAATAACAGTAAATGAAGAAAACATAGTAACAATAAGTCCCATGGGGAGGGTTCCTTTCATTCAGGGATCTTCAACAGCAGAAACACCTGAGGCTAAATTCAAAATGCTAAGTACACAAATTAAGGACCATTTATTTCCAAAGGTGGTTGCAGAAACCACTTTAGTACAATCAAAGAGATTTTACAAAACAGAGAAAATACATTACAAAAACACCCAAAGAGGAGAGGTAGACTGGAGGTGGGGAGGAACGCCCCAGAAGCAGCCTGACAAAGAGGCTCCATCTTGCTGCCATCTAGGGATTTCAGAGACTGGCTCCCAGGAGAACCCTGCACATGAGGGTACATGGCAGGCTCAGCTTGAGAAGAAGGATGGAGGCTTTCACCAATGCCCAGAAGAAATAATTGTATACCATTCAATCCTGTTCTCTTCACTACAATTACATCAAATAAATGAAAAATGCTTTAAAATCTAACATAACACTGACACCAAAATCAATCAAGAGTTTCCAAAAACATCATCCAAAACATCAAAATGACTTTTGTTTTTATTTTGTTTTTCACTGAGTAGGGATGGAGGTCTGCTCAGTGCCATGAGTGGCAAATCAGTGTATAAAAGTGTCACAGACAAGGGCAAGAGCAAGCAGCTTTGGTCTTCTTGTGCACAATGAACTCATTGCACATGCCAGAGGAAGACTGACTCCTCTAATAGGCTCCTCCCTCAGAAAGGGCAGGGCCAGGAGGAGACAGGACACCTCTTCTGGGTCTGGGATCTTCCCAAGTTACCTGAGAGGCCTGGTCCTGGCTCACTAAAACCAGCAGCAATATCTTGTCCTACAGCATCAGAAGCCCCCCCCCCCCAACCTCCCAGCTTTCCTCCCCTCCAGGCCTCGCTTGCAGTAGAAACAAATTAAGAAACTCTTCTTCCACAGAAGACAAGTGACAGAATTCCAGGGAAGTCTATTTAGAAGCTGGAGAGTTTAAAGGGCCCTTTATCATCTCCTCAACACCTATCCCAACTCTGGGCATTACCTAACCCCAGTTCTACTGCATAGAGCCCTGCTGACACTTATCTATCCATGAGAAATGTGTAATTATATCATAAAACACTGAATCATCCATGATCACACAAAGCAAACCCATGACAGAGGCTATATATCAAAAGGGATAGTCTGGCAGGAAGGCTGAGGAACCATAGAAAAAAGTGCACTGCTGACCCCACTTAGCCCATGTAGACCCCGTAGACCACCCCCACCCTTACAAAGAAGTCCACAGAAAGATGAAGGACAGACTTAGAAAGGTGGAGGTGGTGGCTCCCCAACCCCACAGTATGTCATGGAATGACAGAAGAACATGCTGCTAGGCTTCTGAGAGGATACTGGGCCAAGTCTTATATATACCCAACCGGATACTGGGGGTGGGGACTTTTAAGCAGGGAAGACAGCTTAGCCAACTGTACTTGTTGACCCAGCCCCATGACCATGGACAAGGAGGGCTTGAGGATGCATTGATCCCTCTTACTGGCCATCTCTCTAGCATTCTCACACAGGCACAGAGCCCACACATGCTGGTAGATTGCACATAGAACTTTGGCCAAGGTGGTTAGGGAACAAACAGCCTTCCTGCAGACAAGAGAGGCCTGAGGAGGAGCTACAAAGTCAGGGCAAACTGTCTTCTCTTTTCTTGTACCACAGACAGTAAAGTGCAGGCTTTTGGACATACTTGGGGGCAACTCCTAAGACAAAGTGCTAAGACATATCTCCATGTGGGCTCAGACCAAGGAAAGAGTGAGATTTAGGCAGTGAAGATGTTCCCTGTTCTCCAACACCTTAAATGCAGGCTAAGGCTCCCTACGGAATCTGTTAAAGGCGCCACAATCTGTTTCTTTAACTTCCTTATGTATGAGTCAACCTAGGCCCCTGTATGCCCCCTTTCATTTTCTTCCCAATAGGTATGTCTGACTCTGGCCTGGCCATGCCAGGCAACACGGCTTTGAATTTCCTCTCTTTCTTTGAGCACTAGGAAATGCTTACCAGAAATCGTCTGCTGAGCTGGTGCCAAAGCAGAGGCAGGCTACTGGAGGAATGCCAATGCAGGGCAAACCAAGATGCCTTAGCAACCTGGGCCATGATGCCTCAGATGGGGAAGAAGCATGTGAGGTACTCCCACCTCTGTGGCATTCTGGAATTGATTCCCTCAGCCGAGGCCCTACATCACTGCAGATAGCAGCTCCATGTTGTGGCAGGAGCGGAGTCAAGCCTCATGGACTCTTTTCCTATGACCTCTTCTCCACACTCTTATTTTATAGAGAGGTTCAGGATCAGGGAGGCCTTCACATGTTCTATGCATTCCCCGACTTCTCGAAGTGGAAAGGGCAAACCAGCAACTGAAAAAGTGAGGGTAAGAGACAGCAAAGGGAAGCTTGGCATGGCCCTCACAAATGGCAGAGAGGGGAGATGCCATGGCATGAGCTCAAAGGGAAGAAGCATAGTATGAGTTCTTACTTTCTTACTTTCAGTACTTCAGACTCGATCACGTCATGGTCAGGTGGCCCCTCCCAGAGAAGCTTCCCTTAGTTTCCATTTCCTCTGACAGACTCTCCTGCAGTTGTTTTCCTTGCAAATCCATTTTGTAAAATCATGGCCACCAAGTCACTGAAGCTCAGTTTAGGCCTAATACCCACAAACTCACACTGAATACTGCAACTGGCACAGGGTATTGGGGTAGTCATGTTACACACTTCTCTCTATTCTTAAGCAAATTTCTTCCTACTAAAGGTTGCCAAGGAGTCAGCAACTACAAAGACACCTGTACCCATTTTGTGGTCCACACATGACTAAGTACTTTTCAGGTCCACATATGACTAAGTACCTTTCAACCAAAGCACCTCCCTTCAGAGGACTTGATCCACTGGTGGTTCCCTTTTAATCTACAGATGGGCTTTGGACATTGTCAAGCTGTAGAGTCTAGCCACACAAAAGATATCTAACCTTCCTGAAACTGCCTTCAGGAGCAATGGACATGTCCTCTAAGTGCCACGAATGGCTCGAGAATACCTTTCCGAAATACAAGAGTTTCCCCATTTCAGACATCCAAAAGACAAACAGCCAAACAGCACCCAAGCCCCAACCCAAGCTCACTCCTCCCTGAAGCAGCTTCAGACAAAGAGGAATAAACAGACACATACAGAGACAATGAGGATGGTTCAAGGGGCAGCTGAGACTAGACTGCTGCCTATTAATAATGCATGTAACACAGAGTGTGATTCAGATCATGGCTTTCTCAAGTTGCCACTCAACTTCATTTATTTCTTAATTTCTGTGCTCGATTCAGACTGGGATGTAGATCTGATCTCAGCTTTCATAGTAAAGGATTTTTTTTTTTGGGGGGGGGGTTGTCCTGCCTAGTACTATGTACACCTTTACCCTCTTACTTCACATTCAACACACCTCTCTACAGAATCTTGCCCTTGGGCTGTACATTGCTATCACCATCCATCCCAGGCAGCGCCTAGAAGGATTGGCTCGGTGGCTCCTTACTGTGAGTCATGGGACACTAGTCACTGGAAGAATCTATTTTGACTATGAGCTGTGAAGTCCCTTGGCTCTGGGCTTTGCCACTGGTATAGAAACAAGGCCTTGGTCCCCTTCTGGTGGGAGCTATGCTGGAGATTAAAGGGGATCCCAGCATGAGCCTGGAGGTCCCTGGCAGTGGAGAAATGAACCCAACATCATTTCACTGCTGGGATGCTGGAAGAACTACTGCTTTTTGTTCCCTGCTTCCTCAACTGGCTGTTGTTAAAAGCACCAACAAGCAGTGTGAAAGGGGCCACTGACTACCATTTCCCCGGGTAAGGCCACGCAGAGAGTGGGGCACAGTGGGGCCCCAGAGCCCAGGGGAAGAAAGGAAGAAGCTCCATCGCCAGCACGTTCCCTGGATACAAAAAGCTATCCATGGGGAACATCTGGGAAGGGAAGATTGGAAGAAAGGGACAGAGAGGAGGAAAAAAGGAAATAGACCAAGGATACTATTGCCCTTTCCCATGATTTTGTCAAGAACTGGGTGTTCTCTGGGTCAAATCAGGACTTGCTTTCTCAGCGAGAAACAAAACAAAACAAAAAACAAAATAAAAAACCAAAATCCAAGCACCTTCAGTCTATTTTCTTGGCTGGAAGCCGGAGCAAATCCAGCAGATATTTACACAAGGGCCCAGCCATGTATGTGAACAGGATGACCAGCTTCCCGTGGGTCATGGTCATGAGAGTCTGGTGTCCCGAGGCCCAGATGCGATACCAGGGGCCGTAGAATGGGTCTGAGATGGCCGGACACAGCATGTTGTTCAAATTCACTTCGGTGACCTGCAGGGACAAGGGAAGTAGAGTGAGCGTTCGCCATCCCGAGGCTTCCTCTGGCTATCGCCAGTTCGGCCATCTCTCCCTAGTAGTAACTGGACAAGGTGGGATTGACCTGTTCATCAAAGGAGCTTCTTTTCTCTAGGCTTTCTGAGTGGGTGATATAGGTCACTGTCCTGGGCAAAAGCTATTCACTTTTGCTCAGTCTTGCTTTCCAATTGGGCCCAGAGTCCATTGTCATTCCTACACATTTATTGTGTGCCTAGCTCCTGGAGAGATTATGGGATTATAAAAGGAAAAGCTGTTAACTGCATGGTTGTCTCTCCAAGTAGCAAGGAAAATCAGTTTACTGCATAATGCCTCAAACTAGATGGTGCCCACTAAGCTTTGAGTATACAGAGGTGTGAAGGAAGTGGCACTTGAATGAACTCATGAGAGATGGACAGGGGTTATGGCGAGGAGTGGGTGAGTAGAACTTTCCTGGTTGTGGAGGGGGGGAGCATGTAGCAGAACACAACATGTATAATGATATGAGCATACTGACACTCCTGGAATCCAGCATGTCACTAGAAAGCACCAAGACCTAAGGAGGTGTGTGCAAGGAAGAATCATTCCTTCCCACAAGCACAGGCAGCATTCACACTACTGGTGAAGATCTCCGGCTACCTCCAGCAGACCAGAGCAAGGAAGACAAAGTGAGCACTTCTACAAAGGCATTGGGAACATCCAGTTACTCGGCCTTATCAAACAAGGCCACACAAGGTTCCACATGACTAACACTACATTAATGCCAATTGCACAAAACCAAATACGGCACTCTTGCCCCAAGGACAGCCCCAAGCCTGCCTTCCAGAGCTCTTAAAACAAACCCTTAACACTGGGCGGGTATGGTGGCACACACCTGTAATCCCAGCACTCTGGGAGACAGAGGCAGGTGGTCTGTGAGTTTGAGGCCAGCCTGGTGTACATAGGGAACCCAGGACAGCCAAGGCTACACAGAGAAACCCTGCATCAAAAAAACAAAACACACAAAAAAGACAAGTCTTCACTATTTGTCAAGGAAGCTGGACTTTTGTATCATGTTACAGTGAGGTAGAAAATTCCTTTTCCTCACCCAGCCATGACCTTTCCCTCCTCACTTAGACATCGATATATACCTTTGCATTATCTGTGCTATTGGACTCTGAATAATTCAACATTAAGGGCAGCTATTGTCCATATTCTAGGCAGTTCTTGTACTACAGAATGTTCTGGGGCTCCTAACCCTTCACATCCACTGACTACACAGTTGAAGGGAGGGTCTCCTGAAGGACCTGGGAACCTACCCAGAGTGGACCCAACATAAGAGGCCACCATAAGGCCCAGGACCATCATAATAATGCCATGAGGTCCACGGCAAAGCACTTGCCAGTTACAGGTCATTATTTCAGACCCAAGTAGCCATGAATTCAGGTTATCCTTGCCTCCCCAGAAATGAAGGAACAGCTATAACTGAACTATTTGGAGAGGCCAAGACTTTGGATCAAAAGTCAGTATCCCATATACAACAACCTGATGTACTTGCCTTTAGCATCGTGTATTTTTTTTTTCAAAACAAATTAATACAACAGCACCAGCTAGGATTATCAAGATTTATAAAGAACTCCAAACAGACAGGAGAGAGGGGAGCTAAGTGAACTTACCAGGCCGAGGATCTGCAGGATGCTGAAGTGGTAAAAGAACATGAGACCCGTTGAGAGAAGAGCCCACTGGAAACTGCTGAGGGGCTCTGGGGTGTAAGCACCTGGAGGAAGAGGGGAGATGGTGAGCCGAGAGGAATAGTGACCCACTTTTCCTCCTCTGCTCACAAATGTGCAGGTGCTGAGGTCATGGCCACAGCTGTAGCAAGCTTGGTGTCTCTTTCATTTATTAATGATAGCATCTCCCAAGGGACCCTCATGCTTAGCTAGGAGCCATGATAGTCCTTTCTTGACCTGCTTATGCCAGCTGATGTTGCACCATTAGAAAGCAATGGTTCTGTTTCATTCTAAAGGTAATTCATGAATATTAAAAGGTGATTTAGAATTTAAAACAACTGGAAAGAAGATAGAAGCAAAGGAGGAGAGCATTCCTAGCACTCAACTACTAGAAAAGAATCCTCACTAATACATTGCTGTGTCTCCTTGGCCATTTTCTCCACACCTCAGGATTAATTTTTAAAATTAATACTTGAATTAGTACTACATATCTGTACGTGTAACTGTCTGTATGAATATTTATTTCCTCATGATTCTAAATAGTATGAAAATGTTTATATTGAAGTCACATAAATTTGGGTACAAATTTTGACTCTATCATTCATAAACTGTTTGGTTCTGAAAAGCTTTTAACACTTTTGCAAATCTTACTTGTCCACCAAATTGGGATCATTGTAACCATGAGGTCTGGCATAACATGGTGGCTCAATGAGCATCAATGTTCTCTTACTGTCATCCTTAAATCTAGAGCCCTTATAAATGTCTTTTTCAGTGGTTGTGCCATTTCTCAACTACTAAACAACTTCTCCCAGGAACACCAAATAATAGCTTTCCACTCCTATTGCTGCTGGGAACTATCATCTCTGTAGGCCTGGATGCATTTCAGAACTTACAGAGCAGGGACTTGTTATACCCAATGCTGCAGATGTCTCTCTGGTTGGTTATTTGGAAGGGGTGCTTCAAAAAGTGACCCAAAATACACCTTCCTATTCCCCAACATAGGGGTGACACCATCTGCAGAATCTTCCACTGACTCTTCCCTTTGTCCAACAATTGTAAATATCTAGTATTTTGTAATAAGATAAGGTCCCACAGTTTGAAAAATATAGTCAGCAATAACAACATAGCAAGCTTGGGGTAGGGGGATGGAGACCAGTCCTTCCTGTCATGGGAAGACAGAACTCAGCCTGGGAGTCAGGAGTGGAGGTGGGGTAAGGAGTGTTTCTTGATAGAGGCAGCATTGGAGCAGAGTTCTGAGAAAGGAATAGAACTGCAGAAGGGGCCTAGGCCTTCCGATCTGCACACAGACACACATGAAGCAGACTATTCAGAGTGGTACATGTAAGGTAAGAGTTTAGTGGTGGTGGCGTGGCTTGGGGTATGATGGCTCAACAGGTAAACTTGTGTATTGTTCATGCCTGATGACCTGACCATGGGACACAAGTAAAAAAAAAAAGCCAGATTTGGTAGTGTATATCTATAGCCCTAATATTCCTACAGTAAGCTGGAAGGCAGAGACAGAATAATCACCTGAAAGTTTGCGGTGCTATCCCAGAGAATGCAGCACAACATAAACAAGAGACACCATGCATCAAAACAAGGTAGAACAAGAGACTCAGTTCCCAGAAGTTGTCCTCTGACTCCACATGCATGTTATGGCACAGGCATGATCATACTCATGTATATACATCTCTCTCATGTGCACATATAACTTACAAAAGTAATAAAATAATAATAATAATAATAATAATAATAATAATAATAATAATAATAATAATAAACCCAGTAAAGTCACAAGGAGAGTATAATGGAGGCAGTGAGTACAATGTTAGCTAAGCTGGTCTGTCCAAGCTGGGCCACGTGAGCCTCACGAAGCTATTCTGAGGGCTTTGGGCTACATATGTACAACAGAACTGCAAAGTCAAATGTGTCATGTTTCACAGTGGTTCTAGGAAGCCAGAGCATGATTAAGACTAAGAGATACTTGGGAACACTACAGGTTTGTAAGCAGAAATCACATGCCCTTGTAAAGAGTGCAGCTACATCTCAGCTCTGCCAGACACAGCATTGCAAGAATATGGCTCAAGAGGTGCCTGTTTCTTGCTTTTTCAAAGAAAAGCCAGAAGCATGAAACTTAATGTGGAATGTCTGATTTTTTAAATGCAGGCAATTATTCAAAATGTTTTAAGAATACTCAATGGACCAAACAAAACATGTATTGCAGATGTATTTTAGTCCTTGGGAGGCCAGCTTTGTACTCTGCTACATACAGAGCCACTAAAAGCTGCAGGAAGTTTGAGGAATGTGAGTGCTGGCCATTCTGATTAGGGTAAGGGCCAGTATAATGTAGAGAGTAAAAACAGGGGTGTTGGCAGAGGGACTGCTCCAGGAGCCTAGAGAACAAGGCAGTGTCTGGTGGTAAAAAGCAGGATACCTCCGGAAGAGAGGAGGTGGAAAATCAGAAGGATAGGGTAAAAGACAGGAGGGTATAGCTGAGGGAGAGGAAGGACAGTAGCGACTCTTGGAGTTTTAACTAATTGCTTGACCATCACTAGATTGATGATGCCATTTATTGCAATGAAGAAGAGAAGCAGCAGCAAATTGAAGGAAGGGTAAAGGAAATATGAAGTCTAGTTTATACATGTTGAAAACAGAGTACCTGTCTGTGAAATACCCACATGAAAACATTCCTGCAGTGACCACATATGCTCTAGAACATAGAGCATGATGGGTGACACTATGGACACCCAGAGCCTAGAAGGTATGGTATTCAAATTCTGGATTTTAGAGCTTTGGGCAAATCTCAGTTTCTCTTCAACTCAGCTCTTCTCATCTGTATAATGGAAAAGGCACTACCTCATTCACAGAGCATATGACGGATGACACAGTTATAATATGGTACCAGGGATTTAACAAATGCCTGTTACTTTTATGATCTGAACCACAAATTCCAGGAAGAGGATGCGTTGAACATAAAAAGATGGGCGACATCAGCACAAAGAGAACAACAAAATCATGGAAACATGTACACAGAAGAAAACAAAGTCATGGAAACATATGTACACTGAAGAAAACAAAATCATGGAAACATATGTACACAGGGAGAGAGTAAGAAGACCAAAAATGAGATAGCAAGGAACAAGTGCTAGAAGGGGGAGTAAGCAGGAAGAGATAAGTCGAGTGACTGAAGCCAGGGGATATTCTATAGAGTTCATTCTGGACATGTTGAAGTATCTGTGGTTTATGATTTGGTGTCGGGATATATTTATAGCTGTCTTTGGCCACAACTGCCCCATGGGTTGGACACGCCTTTGAGACCCAATGTTCCACAAAGTCGTGAACCTTGTATGTCATTCCAATAGCCAAAACAGTACTTGGTTGGTAACAATGCATTGAGCAATATACTGGGAATGTGAACACTGGTCTGCCTGATATGTGAGTGTGAGCTGGACACCATTTTGTCACTCTAGTTTCTGAGGCCACATGGAGGAAGAAGAGACCTGGAAGGCTGACAGGTGCCCAGGCTTTTACACATTCCAAAGCCTCCATCTATCACTTTCTCGGCAGTCTTTTTATTCCCTCTGACTTCTGCTCAAAGGACCCCACCCCAATGCATCTGAGTGGTAGTGACATGTCTCAGGTAACAAATGGTGGGGCAGGAGTGGACATGAATGTGGGTGTCTGTCCTTGCCCAGTAGCCAGCTCAGCAACCACAGTTCTAGGGAAGGAGGAGATGAGGATTCAAGCACAGAACAGCCATTCCTTCCCTCTGATACTCCCATGTTGTGTTCTGTGTTCTGGCAGGAAAGGATCACTCAGATACTATCATAAGACATGTTTCTCAGTGTTCTCACTGACCCTTCACAGAGCCCCATGTTTGCATCATCCTCTCTGAGTTGCATCATCTCTCCCAACCAGACTGACTGTTGACAGAGGGAGGGGGATCTTCCCTAAAGCCCCTCTTTACCTCAGCCCTACATGCACTGTGGACACTCAAGCAATGCTCACTACGTGGGCAAACAGCTGACACAGGTTTGCTAAGAAATCATAAAAGTGTAGTTTTCGTTCAATGCTAGTACTATGAAGACTGTCATCGAATACCTATAAAATCCAACCCACAAAGCACCTTTATCTGCAAAAAGATATTTATACATGTTTTCTCTGTAATATTGAGAAACTGGAAACAAACCAACTAGGGAGATAGGTTAGGTAAACTATAATACCTCATATTGTGCAATAGTCCACTGCCATTCAAATGGCAATCAGATTGCCCATGCATGAAGAAACCATTCCAGGTGAGTAACAAGTATAAAAGGCAGAACATCAAACAGTACAGACATGAGAGAAAACACAATGTAATAGCTTAAAAGCAAAGGCCTGGGGGTGGGGGGTCAGACAGCTTCAAGTTCCCCATGGGAATGAACCTGAGCAGATCACACTTCCTTTAAAGTTGTTTTCCTGTATAGGAACTAGAAGCAGCATCCATTCCTCAGGGCTGAGTAGTGGAGTAAGACATTACAGAAAGCAGATGCAGCAGCTAGCCTAGCATGGTGAAATTTTCACCCCAGGGATCACAGGCATACGAACTCATACACAGGCAGGAAGAGGAGGGACATTCTAGGGCAATGGGGAGGTGGACAACTCCTCTGTGAAGGGAGACTGCCTATGGCAAATATGATCTATATTCCATTTCCTTCAAAAACCACAGTTAAAAAACACATTATGCACTGATAACCTAGCCTATAGGGATATATGCAAGTTGTATACAAACCCACATAATTCTCTTTGCTGGAGACCTGGATATGGCCCTTGGGATAATCCTGGGAAAAAAAAACAGTTTTCCTCAAAAGGAAAATAGAAACTGAATTGCTTTCAGGAAAACTCAACACATCATAAAAATCTTTTTTTTCCTACTTTAAGAAAGTATGTAACATTTTTCTGCTAGCATTTTCTGTCCCAGGAGGATAGGAGCGCGTCATCAGTAAAGGTAGGGAGAAACCAAGATAATAGTTTCTGTAAAATTGATTTCTGCCAGAAGGAAGCCGTA